TCCTTGCTTGGCTTTGTATGGTTTTGAGATTTTGATTTAGAAAAATAATTTGACCGGATGATAGTTGCCACAGGAAAGCCGGAAACGTACAAGAAACATATCGCTGAGATCACAATCCCTATGTAACCTTCATAAGCTTTTAAAGGCAGAGATGCCAATTTTAATTGCATAAACTTTGTTTTAGCTCAGAATAGAATAGATTCTTTTGTAAAGAGGATTTTGATATTATTTAATTATCTAGAAAAATATTCGGGTTCTCTTAGTTAAGATCCTTTCCGTTAGTTTCCTATTGCCAATTTTTAACAAACATTAATTTCATCCAAAAGTGTATATCGCCTATCAGCCAAAATCTATAGTTAAACAATCTCCGTCATAACAAATCAGTTTTGCAACATGATTTCAATGTTTCCCAATACTGGGCCAGATCTTTTTACTAAATATTTTTAAATGGTATGTATATCAAAGATTTTTTTGGAAAATAACAATGATGCAACTTTTGATAAGATTAGCATGAGCATTAAAGCTTCTTTTTATTAATGAAACTAGTTAGATAAAGTGAAAATGCTAAGCTGCAACTATAAACTGTTCTTTTTAGCTATCTTTTCCAATTTAGTACGCAAGCTTCAGTTAAAAAACAGCTTAATGTACCTATCTTAATTTATTCGTTCCAAATTTCACTCTGGCTGTTATAAATGATACAATTTACCTTTCATTTTATTTGGTTTAAACATAATCTTTATTGAAATGGGATATAAGCAAATCGCGTGAATAGCGTGAACACGGGTAGTATAAAACTAAAATGCTACTTTTGTTTACTCCCAGAATTCCACCACAGGCATTTCCCACTGACTGCACTGTTGGCAGAAGTTCGCTTCCTCTGGAAACATTTCCATTGTCTCATTCCAGTTGATAACACTTGGCGACATTGTGGCCTCCAGGCTGTTGGTGGAGATCATTAGCTTTTGAGTTAGGTCTGAAACGGAAGACAGGTTCTCAGCTTGTATTGGTACTCTGCGTAAAACTTCAGTCCTATTTGGTAAAAGCACTGTTCTCGTAATACAACTGTAGGCACTAGCATTAGGCGAACAGCAGATTGTGTTCCAGGTTTGGTTGCATAAACTCCATGGTAGTGGACCAAATGTGAACGACTGGCCGATGTAATAGAATGCGTAAGCAAGCACCACGATGTAGTAAATGCTCAACCAAAAGGCCATTATTGTGGCTGCATAACCAACACCTGGGTTTTAAAATAGAAAAAGCACATATTTAAGGAACCGTAGACAGCATTTGTAACAATATAAAGATGATTTGGATAATCTAATTTTAGAGTATTTTTGCCACGATTGTACTGTGAATCATCCTTTCTAGATTAATGGAACAAAAGTACGGATTCCAGTTAGTGAATAAGGCAGGCTAGATAGACTCACATATATCCAAAATCGCGATCCCTTTTACTCCGGTTATCGATAGATCCCTGATCCAGTCGTATTCTTTTTTCTGGTCTTTCTTTATTCTTGTTTTCACCGAGTTTGCTTAGGCAATAGGAAAAGTTATCGCTAACTTTACATAAGATTTTTATCCCAAAGCATGTCACTGGCCTCCCTAATTTTCCGCTTCTTTGTGTCGTCACCGTATGGGACCCTTGTTTCTGTTGCATTCCGATTGATCTCTTGTCCATTCTGTGCTATGTGTTTCGCTAAATCTGATCTTTCGGTATCCATTTTCCTTGATTCCTGTGCTAATTATTCTCCCTTTTTCGCCAATATATTTCTGTCCGCAGCCGCCGCATGTTATACAGTAAACTCCTGAACAATCGAATTTGTCTACCCTTTCATATTGCGTTGGTAGACTTGTGAAAAGTGTTGATTTCTCCTACATGGCCACCTGAATGTTCCATTTACTCAATATTGACAGTAGTTTATGAGTTAGTTCGCAGGAAGGTAGGCATATCCACTTTTGTG